CCTCTATTCTTATGTTCTTTATAGAATAGCTTACTCTCTCATGTGTCCCAGCCTCACCCAGTCTTTATTTACCATGTGTATATAGAGTTAACTATGTCATTTATTTTTTCAAAATCTCAAACTTCTTTTCTCTTCGGGACTGTACAGTCCAGGTAAACTGCGAGTAACTTCGAACAAATCTTTCCTGTAAACTAACGTAAATGTAAACTTTACATAAACGAATCTAAACTTCAGGAGTTAAGGAAGCTGTGAGGAGTCTGGGAGACAAGGTTGTGTTAGTGATGTAAGTGAAGCCAAGTGAAGCGCAATGCCGACACTCAGATCAGCTCACTGACACTCAGATCAGCTCACTGACACTCAGATCAGCTCTTTGACACTTAGAACAACTCTTGACATTCAGACCAGCTCTCTGACACTCAGAGACCCCCAAGGCCAGTATAGTCCCTAATCTCTGTCTCTCACACTCTCTGTGCATGGAGTTGATGTGTTCAGTCCATGAATCTTGATAACAGTACAGCGGAGAACGGACTTATATACTTCAGACAGGTGAGGCGAAGCAGTGGTAGGTGGCGTCACCAGTGGAAACATTCACTAGTGGAAATAGGTCATGCCTAGTATAAAAAAAAGCCACCAACGGGCGAAACGTTTCCAGATACTCATACCCAAATGTTGTACAGGTGTCTCATTTATCAACTTGTCGGTTTTCTAAACCGTTTATGCAACATCTCTGTGAAACTTGTCGGGTCGTTTTGACAATCAAACACCCGACTGACTGTATCATTCATCAAAGAACATGTGTAATCCATTTTCGGTCTGTATTTCAGCTCCTGGGCGTTTTACTTTGCCTACTTTCCTTTCAGTAGGCCACACACTGAATTTTTTGAGAAAACTAACTTGGTGCGTCAACTTTGACATTCCTTGTTAGCACAAACGTTCATTCATCACACTACTTCTGTTTTCCGATAGCCCAACTTTCACCCTCATAGCCTTATCTCTTTATAATCTGTACAGGTTTGGCGCATTTTGTGGATGTAATAGTTCTCTCTTTATTTCCCTCACTCTCTCTCTCTCTCTCCATTATTAAGGTCTGCTTGCTCCCCTGGGAGTTCCCTGGGAAAGAAGGGAGAGCAAACAATATGTGTGCGCATTGTGTGATGGTAAACACTGATATGACATTGAAAAGTGTGTGTTGCTGCTGCTACTGGTGTGTTGCTGCTGCTGGTGTGTGTTGCTGCTGCTGCTGGTGTGTGTTGCTGCTGCTGCTGGTGTGTGTTGCTGCTGCTGCTGGTGTGTTGCTGCTGCTGCTGGTGTGTTGCTGCTGCTGCTGATGATGATGTGTACTGCTGCTGCTGCTGGTGTGTTGCTGCTGCTGCTGATGATGATGTGTACTGCTGCTGCTGCTGGTGTGTACTGCTGCTGTTGGTGTGTTGCTGCTGCTGCTGCTGATGATGATGTGTACTGCTGCTGCTGCTGGTGTGTACTGCTGCTGTTGGTGTGTATTGCTGTTGCTGCTATTTTATTTGTAAGGAGAAATGAGAAAATTTCTCCGGCCGCGGATGTCATTTGATGACTCGTTGCTATGAGTTTTTCACTATCTGGGCGGGGCCTTCCTTCTGGCTTATCGGTCCACCTCGTAAAAAAAAAAGTTAAGATGTGATATTAAAGTGTCTCAATACCACCTGAAAATCTGAGCACTTTTTCATGTGATAGGATGCGGAAGTGTGTGTGTGAGGGAAGGAAGGTGTTGGGGTTGTTTGCTTGCTGGTGTTTGAAGGAATGGTGTGGAGTAGGGCGTGGTTGCGTGCAGAGCCTTCTACGAACATTATCTTCTTGTGGCTATTGCCTCAGAGGAGCCACAGGCGTGAGTCCTACCAGAAGAACTTCTCCACTGTCTCATCCTCATAAGACAGTGTTTCCAGACGTGTTCCAATTCAGATACTTCCGAACGGTCCACGGCGCTAGACAGTACTGACTAACCTCTGTCTAATAAATATAAGCCGTTTTTACTTAAGTTACGTTAGGAAAATTAATGAGCCAAAATTTATACATATTAAGCCAGCAATAAACTGGATTACATTAAGATGGAGGACACAACTGACCTGTCCTCTTGTTACAATTTCTTTAACGCTTATTGTAAATCTAAAAGTATTTTTTTTTCAGGATAGGTTAAATTGGGTTGGGTTAGGTTTCACAAATTTATTAAAACGTACATTTAACCATAAATAAGAGGGTCACAAGAAGGGGTCGAAATATACAGACCAATTAATCTTCCATATTTCTGTTTCTGTTTCCTAAGTAAGAAAATTGAAAATAGAAATGGCCAGGATACTTCTGGATGAGGTGAGCGAAAATAACCTGGAAGCTTTCAGATATGTACGATCATCACTGGTGGTGCCAGAGTGGACTGGTAGACGGTGCACCCCAGTGACCTAATTCGTTGTAAAGTTATCGTTGGTTATGTAGCGTGGGAGGGAGGGAGGGGGCGATAGGGAGGGAAGGATACTGGAGGTTATCACCAGTGTTACGCAGTGCTACATACACTGTCGCACACAAATCCGCATTCCTTGACAAGTACTCTCCCTACCACCTTATTCTGTTCCCTGCTCACTTTGTTGTCATCCTCTCTTTATTCTCTCATCCCATCTTCCACTGTATATCTCTCTCCATTTTACAACTTTTTTTTATCATCCCTCCCTCGTCCATTCTCACTTCCTTCTTGTTAATTGTCTCTACCACTGTCAAGCACGACTCCATCTTGATACAGTTGACGACTCTGACTGCGTGTCTTAAAACTAGACAAAGTGCGAAAGTTCGCTGCGAGGCTGGTCCCGGACCAAGTATAATGGTATACGATAACATAATTAATGAGGCAAAACCTCACAGCAATATAGGAGAGGAAAATCATAGAAGATAATATGAACATAACTTAGTGACTTGATAGCGCAGACAGAACGAGAGTATGAGACCACACACTACTTCCTCCAAATGTGAGGACAGTGTTATGCATCGTGGATATGAATATATATTTTCACGAAAGGGCTCAGTGAGTCTGTCCTTTGAAGAAATGGTAATAGATATTTTTTCAGACAAGCAGATTTATTATTATTATTATTATTATTATTATTATTATTATTATTATTATTGTTATTATTGTTATTATTATTATTATTATTATTATTATTATTATTATTATTATTATTATATTAATTATTTATAATATGTATCATCATCATCATCATTTCATCATTCATCATCATCATCATCATCATCATCATCATCATAACTAAGCGCTCAACCCACAAGGATCATACAGCGCTGCTCAGACAAGCACAGAAGTGAACTTTGATATTCCGCTATCTACGGGAACACAAAGTTTAAAAGCTCGCTGACGCCATTATCGTGTGGATGTTGTGCTGATAAATCTCACTTTACAAGCTGTGAATTATATATACTGAGTAACGCACCTGTGAATCTTGGTAGTGTTTAATGTCCAGAAGGTATAAATACATGCTGGCCACACACTCCTGAGTGTGTGGTAGATGTGTGGTCTCTGACAAACAACGAAGTGAAAGGTGACTTGTTGGTTTACAAGATATGATAAATCACGGGTCTGTTATAACATGGCCCGTTTAGTGGTGTTGGCAGTATTAGAAATGCGCACAAGACAATGGTGTCCAAAGACACACCTGAAGGTAGGATAGCCGATGGCTCTATTGTTGGGTCACGGCAGTAGTGAGGGTTGGCTTACCCGTGCCTGACTCAGTGGTCTGGGTGTGACTTAAGGGGCACGTAAATTTATTCAGGTATACACAAATACAGTTACATAGATTATCATACATCAGCATATGTGTAGTACCTGGGATAACCCAAAAAAAGTCCATTGGGGTCCTTTTATCTTATTATTATAATATAAAGGTGATAATATCTTATTATTATAATATAAAGGTGATAATATCTAATTAACATACTATTAAGACTATCTACTACATGAGGGTCATTAAGACTATTACATGAGGGTCATTAAGACTACAATACGAGGGTCATTACTAGGAATAAGGTAAAATTACACGTGTGTTAGCCAAAAAAAATAAAAAATAATTCCCCTCCCTTTCTGTCGCTATGTTCATCAGGTTCATCAGGCACCTAAGTTCCTCCGTCTTCTAATAACATGTTCATTTTTCCAGTATAATCTTCCCTGTCCATAATTACTATCACGTTTTCTTTGTTTCGTAAGATGAAGTCCAAGATCTTTCTTTAATTCATGGTATAACTTAACAAATTTTTGAGGACAAACTAAATGCGATAGTAATTATGAACAAGGTAGATTATAGTGGAAAAATGAACATGTTATTAGAAGACGGGAACTTACGTGGCTGTTATGAAACATTAAGGTCGCATGAACAAGGACCTGTCGTGGTTTAAATTGTAGCGCCACCACAGGAAGGCGGAAAATATCAACTTTTTCTATGGTGATTGTAGTGAGGAAAACACTTCTATTTGTTAATTATAACTAAATATATCAGCACACAACTACTGTGGGTGGAGAGGTGGAAATCTATTGTGGGGGCGGTGCCCCATTATTCCTGTTTCCAAATACATTCCTGCCCCCCCTCCCTGGGGATGTTGATCATCTCCTTGAGTTATCTCATTCATATTATTGCGAGGTTTTATAACTTGATTTCATTATTTGACGACTTTCAGATCAGCAAAAAATTAATTACACGAATTTATAGGAAAAAATAGTCTGGAGCACAACAGTGCCATGACCGAGGCACCGCATATTGAGTCTTTCTTTTCTAAAATATATCATCATTGTAGAGTCATACAGTGTTGACAGTTTGTTTTCTTTCTTGTTTAGTTGGAAATCATGATTTTGAATAAATTTAGTTTCACTGAAAAAATGCCAATTATTATTGATTCCTTGTTTATCTGATCCTTTGTGTTCTTGCGGGATGTTTGGAAAACATTTACCAGGTGCTGATACCTGTTCTCTTTTTCAGTTATGGCAACATACGATATTGCTAGTATGGAAGCCACGACCTCTGCCACAGTCTCGGACAACGACTACTACCCCCACACGACTACGACCCTTCCCACGTCCGACGATAGTGCGCAGTATCGTTTATCTGACGAGTCTGTTATGACGACCACGGTGAGCCAAGGAGCGGAGGCAGAGAAGACAAATATAATGGAAAATAAGGAGAACCAAGGCAACGACAACCGTTTTTCACGCGCGGAAGGCCAGAAGAGGCCAGGGTCCTTCATGAAGATGCCCACGCTGAAGAGGGAGAAGTCCTACTCTGAGACACTCGAGAGGAAAAAGAAGAAAGTAAAGTTCTCCCCCAGTGAGGGCGACGACAGCATCATAGTGGACACTCGCGTATTTGAGCCTCAGGTTGTCAACACAAGCCAGGAAGACGACGCAGAGAAAGACGACAATGTTGTCTCCTCGACAATCAAGAAACTCCTGAGAAAGAGTTCCAAGAAGAGAAAGGCGAATATTGAAACGCAAACAGACGAGAGGGACGATGTAGAGAGGGCAAAGGAAAGCGAGCACGCTCATAATATGAGAAACACTGGTGAAGCAGGATCAATAGAAAGAGTATCAGTGGACAGAGACGTAGATCCAATACCACAGTCATTCTCTGACAGCCAGAACCAGCGTGAAGATGAGGAAATACACACTATTGATGACAGCGACCACCCAGATAGCGTTAGCTCACCAGACAGTACTACACCGGAGTCTCCAACTGCAATGACCTCCTATGAGTCCTCCAGCGAGACGCAGCCTTCCTCCAGGTTATTCAGAGGTGACACAGGTGAGGATGCCAGCCGTGACGTCAACGCTGAGGCAGGAGTGCCAACAGTGCCGTGCCCTGAAACGAATGAAAGTGAAGACTTGACATACTGGGATGTTAATGACCACTGTCTATATACCTCAGAGAAACATTTAGACACAGCAGTACCTGAAACTAACAACGAACACGATTACAGTTTGGATAAAAACAAACCCTTAGATTATTATAGAAAACTGCCGCATTTAAGATATGAATATGATTCGGTAGTTCCTCGCCAGGTGGCTCCCTTATCGGAAGAGCAAGAGTTAGAAATCAGCGAGTTCAGTAAAGCCGACGACTCTTGGGATAATCCGCAATTGTCGTGTGAGAAACAGCTGAAACCATTAGACGACTCTAGTCCCACTTCTCAGGTGACGATCAAGCGCGAAGGCACCTTCACCCTGGACGGTCCTCCTCCAGCCAAGATCACGAAGCCATCCTGCGATGTTGTCAGTAATGTAGCACCCTGCGCCAGGCTGCCCCCAAGGGACAGTGTTATGGAACCCCTCCAATTCTTTGTTGATTTAACGACGCCGGAACGTTCTCCAAAGGTCGCTCGACGTTCGGAAAGTAAAACGGGTGATGATGCTAATTTACGTGCAGCTAAGCCTTCTCCTAAGGCGATAAAACAATCTAAAGAGACTGAAGGCAATAAAAAATCTCTACATCAAACTTCTTCCATAACTACTTTCAAGAATAATGCAAAAAGAACGTTCGTTAATGCATGGAGAACAGCCACCAAAACACAGGAAACTCCACACAAATCCTTGAAGCACACAGCGAAGGCTCCTCAAGAGGCCTCGATACCCAGGCCCTCCCCGACCAGACTGCAGAAAGAGAACATAATCAAGACTAACAACGCTAGGAAGCAGACAAATGCCAAGACCCCGAAGTCCGTCACTGGTGAGACTGGCGCCAAGTCCGTCACCTGTGAGAAGCAGTCGACGCCAAAGGAGCTTCAAAGACGCAGCCGGGAACCGAAGAAATTTCTCCCGCGCCAGGACACGGGAAGCTTACCCACAGAGAGGAGCCCATTGTGGGGAGGGGTGTCCCTACCCAACTTCAAGAGAGAGGGAACATTCACAAAGAAGTACGATGCGGAAAAGGACCGCCTGCAGGCAGAGTGTAATAGACTAAACGTCGAAAAGGAAAGGTTGGTGGCTCTCAAATCTTGGTGCATGGCGGAGTGTCTGACGGTGTCTGGGAGTCTCATCAAGAGTGTGTGGGAGAGGCTGTGCCTGACTGCCTGTCAGACTTGGCATTATATAATACATATGAAGGTTATTAAATTAGTTTCGATAAGAATGACCTTCGGTTTATTTTTCACTCACTGCTCAAACTTAAGGCGCTTAATCCAGAACTATGTAGTGTATTTTATATATTGCAGGTAATTGTACGCCGGTTCCATAGGGATTATACAGCGCCTATGGGGAAGAGGATGGGAGGCCTTCATGCTTAATTCAGGGGATTGGAGCACAGATCCAATCCAAACCGATTATGCCCCCCCCAAAAAAAAATACAGCTGTTCCCCCCTCCAAAATAAGAAAAAAATAATTTCCCTCAAAAAATTTACTTACGTCTTACGTGAAAGCAAGTAGGTTATATAAGTTATTCAGATCTTTTTCCTGATCTTGCGCTGTTGGCATATCATTAGCCATCAGACTATCAAAACAGGCTAAGAAGCGATTAATTAACAGGACACACCAGGTGTTGTATGTGGGTGAAAGAGAGTGGACTCTAGACGACGGTACACCAGATAGTTGCTCTGAGAGATTTTGTGGGGTGAGGTAGGCCAGGTTTACCCTACACTGAGAGGTATATCAGTCACTGTATACACACTCGAGAGCTTATTTTAGTCCCTAAATTAGAGATTAAAGTACTATATTCTTTAAGTTAGTGCACAGATTCCACTGAGGAGCATAACTTGATAAAAACATTACTTCCCACTCCCCAGGCGATGTATGACCATTGCTAGTTTAGCATTACTCCTTTCACATAATAATGTACAGGTAATGGCAGCCTTAATGACTTACGTGAAATAGATAAGCCTTTAATTAACAGCTATGTTGGCAATGTTTTTCAGGCTTCAGAGCGAACTGTGTGAGGTTCGCGTGAGACTGGAGGAGGAGACAGTGGCCAGGAAGGCCCTCAGACGCACACACGATCTCAATCTCAGACACTTGAGGGAAGGCGAACTCCGGAGGACTGAGCTACAAATTACAGATTTGAAGAACAGGTGAGCACCAGCCAGAGTGGAAGGTCAGGCAGGCTGGGGAATGTAGGCAGGGAATGACGAGTGTGAATGTAACGAGAATATGGAGGGAAGAAAGAATGAAGAATGTGTCGAAAGGAAGAGAATTAAGGAGAGAGAATGAATAAATACTGCGGAGGAAGGAAAGGCATAACTGTAAAGGTAAAAATGGTGGAAGGAGATTGCATGGGTTGGTGGAGGTAGGAAAGCTGAAAGGAAGGGAGACAACATAAGCAAAGAAAGGATGAAAGGGAAAGATACGTAGGAAAAACCAAGGAAAGGGAGGAAAAAATAAAAAGATGGATAAAGGGTGGGAACCAATTAAACCAAAATTTCCTGGCTCAAAAGATGAGACAAGAAACGTAGGGAGGCAGGGAGGATGTAAACACACTGAGAAAGCCGAGGGTAAAAAGTCGATTAATGGAATACAATTTCATTAATAAGAGATACACAAACGGGAATAACAAACAAGCCTCATTACCCCTGCCCCTCTCCCCTCTACCTCGATGCTGTCGTAGACTTGAGGATGAGAAGCGTGAAGCTCTGGCACAGCAGAAGGAGTCGCTGACGAGGACTCACGAAGCTGAACTGCTGAGGGCAGACCGAGAGAGGGACGAGGACCACCGCAGACTGCTGCAGGAGGCCAGACTCACCCAGCACAAGCTGAAGGCAGAGATACGACGGCAGGTCTCAAGGTGATTAGTAAAGGGATAGCAATATGGGCAGTAGAAGTAGTAGTTTGGTAGTTGTAGTAGTAATAATAGTAGTAGTGGTGGTAGCAGTGTGTGCAGTGGGGTTTGTGGTTTAATAGACGACACGATATGGTGTGTGGCCTTATTAAGCATTGGTCAGTTTGTCTTGTAACCTGAATATATATATATATATATATATATATATATATATATATATATATATATATATATATATATATATATATATATATATATTATATATATATGGAAGGAGAAAAGAGAATATGAATGTGTAAATTCAAGAATTATGTGGATTAAAGTAAAGGTTGGATGCGAGAAGTGGGTCATAATAAGCGTGTATGCACCTGGAGAAGAGAGGAATGCAGAGGAGAGAGAGAGATTTTGGGAGATGTTAAGTGAATGTATAGGAGCCTTTGAACCAAGTGAGAGAGTAATTGTGGTAGGGGACCTGAATGCTAAAGTAGGAGAAACTTTTAGAGAGGGTGTGGTAGGTAAGTTTGGGGTGCCAGGTGTAAATGATAATGGGAGCCCTTTGATTGAACTTTGTATAGAAAGGGGTTTAGTTATAGGTAATACATATTTTAAGAAAAAGAGGATAAATAAGTATACAAGATTATGTAGGGCGAAATGACAGTAGTTTGTTGGATTATGTATTGGTAGATAAAAGACTGTTGAGTAGACTTCAGGATGTACATGTTTATAGAGGGGCCACAGATATATCAGATCACTTTCTAGTTGTAGCTACACTAAGAGTAAAAGGTAGATGGGATACAAGGAGAATAGAAGCATCAGGGAAGAGAGAGGTGAAGGTTTATAAACTAAAAGAGGAGGCAGTTAGGGTAAGATATAAACAGCTATTGGAGGATAGATGGGCTAATGAGAGCATAGGCAATGGGGTCGAAGAGGTATGGGGTAGGTTTAAAAATGTAGTGTTAGAGTGTTCAGCAGAAGTTTGTGGTTACAGGAAAGTGGGTGCGGGGGAAGAGGAGCGATTGGTGGAATGATGATGTGAAGAGAGTAGTAAGGGAGAAAAAGTTAGCATATGAGAAGTTTTTACAAAGTAGAAGTGATGCAAGGAGGGAAGAGTATATGAAGAAAAAGAGAGAGGTTAAGAGAGTGGTGAAGCAATGTAAAAAGAGAGCAAATGAGAGAGTGGGTGAGATGTTATCAACAAATTTTGTTGAAAATAAGAAAAAGTTTTGGAGTGAGATTAACAAGTTAAGAAAGCCTAGAGAACAAATGGATTTGTCAGTTAAAAATATGAGAGGAGAGTTATTAAATGGAGAGTTAGAGGTATTGGAAGATGGAGGGAATATTTTGAGGAATTGTTAAATGTTGATGAAGATAGGGAAGCTGTGATTTCGTGTATAGGGCAAGGAGGAACAACATCTTGTAGGAGTGAGGAAGAGCCAGTTGTGAGTGTGGGGGAAGTTTGTGAGGCAGTAGGTAAAATGAAAGGGGGTAAGGCAGCCGGGATTGATGGGATAAAGATAGAAATGTTAAAAGCAGGTGGGGATATAGTTTTTGGAGTGGTTGGTGCAATTATTTAATAAATGTATGGAAGAGGGTAAGGTACCTAGGATTGGCAGAGAGCATGCATAGTTCCTTTGTATAAAGGCAAAGGGGATAAAAGAGAGTGCAAAAATTATAGGGGGATAAGTCTGTTGAGTATACCTGGCAAAGTGTATGGTAGAGTTATTATTGAAAGAATTAAGAGTAAGACGGAGAATAGGATAGCAGATGAACAAGGAGGCTTTAGGAAAGGTAGGGGGTGTGTGGACCAGGTTTTTTACAGTGAAACATATAAGTGAACAGTATTTAGATAAGGCTAAAGAGGTCTTTGTGGCATTTATGGATTTGGAAAAGGCGTATGACATGTTGGATAGGGGGGCAATGTGGCAGATGTTGCAGGTGTATGGTGTAGGAGGTAGGTTACTGAAAGCAGTGAAGAGTTTTTACGAGGATAGTGAGGCTCAAGTTAGAGTATGTAGGAAAGAGGGAAATTATTTCCCAGTAAAAGTAGGCCTTAGACAAGGATGTGTGATGTTACCGTGGTTGTTTAATATATTTATAGATGGGGTTGTAAGAGAAGTAAATGCGAGGGTCTTGGCAAGAGGCGTGGAGTTAAAAGATAAAGAATCACACATAAAATGGAAGTTGTCACAGTTGCTCTTTGCTGATGACACTGTGCTCTTGGGAGATTCTGAAGAGAAGTTGCAGAGATTGGTGGATGAATTTGGTAGGGTGTGCAAAAGAAGAAAATTGAAAGTGAATACAGGAAAGAGTAAGGTTATGAGGATAACAAAAAGATTAAGTGATGAAAGATTGGATATCAGATTGGAGGGAGAGAGTATGGAGGAGGTGAATGTATTCAGATATTTGGGAGTGGACGTGTCAGCGGATGGGTCTATGAAAGATGAGGTAAATCATAGAATTGATGAGGGAAAAGGGTGAGTGGTGCACTTAGGAGTCTGTGGAGACAAAGAACTTTGTCCTTGGAGGCAAAGAGGGGAATGTATGAGAGTATAGTTTTACCAACGCTCTTATATGGGTGTGAAGCATGGGTGATGAATGTTGCAGCGAGGAGAAGGCTGGAGGCAGTGGAGATGTCATGTCTGAGAGCAATGTGTGGTGTGAATATAATGCAGAGAATTCGTAGTTTGGAAGTTAGGAGGAGGTGCGGGATTACCAAAACTGTTGGCCAGAGGGCTGAGGAAGGGTTGTTGAGGTGGTTCGGACATGTGGAGAGAATGGAGCGAAACAGAATAACTTCAAGAGTGTATCAGTCTGTAGTGGAAGGAAGGCGGGGTAGGGTCGGCCTAGGAAAGGTTGGAGGGAGGGGGTAAAGGAGGTTTTGTGTGCGAGGGGCTTGGACTTCTAGCAGGCATGCGTGAGCGTGTTTGATAGGAGTGAATGGAGACAAGTGGTTTTTAATACTTGACGTGCTGTTGGAGTGTGAGCAAAGTAGCATTTATGAAGGGGTTCAGGGAAACCGGCAGGCCGACTTGAGTCCTGGAGATGGGAAGTACAGTGCCTGCACTCTGAAGGAGGGGTGTTAATGTTGCAGTTTAAAAACTGTAGTGTAAAGCACCCTTCTGGCAAGACAGTGATGGAGTGAATGATGGTGGAAGTTTTTCTTTTTCGGGCCACCCTGCCTTGGTGGGAATCGGCCAGTGTGATAAATAAATATATATATATATATAATATATATAATATATATATATATATATATATAATATATATATATATATATATATATATATAATATATATTATATATATTATTTTTATTTTTTCAACAAGTCGGCCGTCTCCCACCGAGGCAGGGTGACCCAAAAAAGAAAGAAAATCCCCAAAAAGAAAATACTTTCATCATCATTCAACACTTTTACCACACTCACACATTATCACTGCTTTTGCAGAGGTGCTCAGAATACAACAGCTTAGAAGCATATACGTATAAAGATACACAACATATCCCTCCAAACTGCCAATATCCCAAACCCCTCCTTTAAAGTGCAGGCATTGTACTTCCCATTTCCAGGACTCAAGTCCGACTATATGAACATAACCGGTTTCCCTGAATCCCTTCACTAAATATTACCCTGCTCACACTCCAACAGATCGTCAGGTCCCAAGTATCATTCGCCTCCATTCACTCCTATCTAACACGCTCATGCACGCTTGCTGGAAGTCCAAGCCCCTAGCCCACAAAACCTCCTTTACCCCCTCTTTCCAACCCTTTCGAGGACGAGCCCTACCCCTCCTTCCTTCCCCTATAGATTTATATGCTTTCCATGTCATTCTACTTTGATCCATTCTCTCTAAATGACCAAACCACCTCAACAACCCCTCTTCTGCCCTCTGACTAATGATTTTATTAACTCCACACCTTCTCCTAATTTCCACACTCCGAATTTTCTGCATAATATTGACACCACACATTGCCCTTAGACAGGACATCTCCACTGCCTCCAACCGTCTCCTCGCTGCTGCATTTACCACCCAAGTTTCACATCCATATAAGAGTGTTGGTACTACTATACTTTCATACATTCCCTTCTTTGCCTCCATAGATAACGTTTTTTGACTCCACATATACCTCAACGCACCACTCACCTTTTTTCCCTCATCAATTCTATGATTAACCTCATCCTTCATAAATCCATCCGCCGACACGTCAACTCCCAAGTATCTGAAAACATTCACTTCTTCCATACTCCTCCTCCCCAATTTGATATCCAATTTTTCTTTATCTAAATCATTTGATACCCTCATCACCTTACTCTTTTCTATGTTCACTTTCAACTTTCTACCTTTACACACATTCTCAAACTCATCCACTAACCTTTGCAATTTTTCTTTAGAATCTCCCATAAACACAGTATCAGCAGCAAAAAGTAACTGTGTCAATTTCCATTTTGAATTTGATTCCCCATAATTTAATCCCACCCCTCTCCCGAACACCCTAGCATTTACTTCTTTTACAACCCCGTGTATAAGTATATTAAACAACCATGGTGACATTACACATCCCTGTCTAAGACCTACTTTTACCGGGAAGTAGTCTCCCTCTCTTCTACACACCCTAACCTGAGCGTCACTATCCTCATAAAGGCTCTTTACAGCATTTAGTAACTTACCACCTATTCCATATACTTGCAACATCTGCCACATTGCTCCTCTATCCACTCTATCATATGCCTTTTCTAAATCCATAAATGCAATAAAAACTTCCCTACCTTTATCTAAATACTGTTCACATATATGCTTCAATGTAAACACTTTATCTACACATCCCCTACCCACTCTGAAGCCTCCCTGCTCATCCGCAATCCTACATTCTGTCTTACCTCTAATTCTTTCAATTATAACCCTACCGTATACTTTTCCTGATATAATCAGTAAACTTATTCCTCTATAATTTTTACAATCTCTTTTGTCCCCTTTCCCTTTATATAAAGGGACTATACATGCTCTCCGCCAATCCCTAGGTACCTTCCCCTCTTTCATACATTTATTAAACAAAAGTACCAACCACTCCAACACTATATCCCCCCCTGCTTTTAACATTTCTGTCATGATCCCATCAGTTCCAGCTGCTTTACCCCCTTTCATTCTACGTAATGCCTCACGTACCTCCACCACACTTACATTCTGCTCCTCTTCGCTCCTAAAAGATGGTATACCTCCCTGGCCAGTGCATGAAATTACCCCCTCCCTTTCTTCCTCAACATTTAAAAGTTCCTCAAAATATTCTCGCCATCTACCTAATACCTCCCTCTCCCCATCTACTAACTCCCCTACTCTGTTTTTAACTGACAAATCCATACTTTCCCTAGGCTTTCTTAACTTGTTTAACTCACTCCAAAATTTTTTCTTATTTTCATTAAAATTTCTTGACAGTGCCTCTCCCACTCTTTCATTTGCTCTCCTTTTGCACTCTCTCACCACTCTCTTCACCTTTCTTTTACTCTCCATATACTCTGCTCTTTTTATAACACTTCTGCTTTGAAAAAAACCTCTCGTAAGCTACCTTTTTCTCTTTTATCACACCCTTTACTTCATCATTCCACCAATCACTCCTCTTTCCTCCTGCCCCCACCCTCCTATTAACCACAAACTTCTGCCCCACATTCTAATACTGCATTTTTTAAAAACTATTCCAACCTCTTCAACCCCCCCACTACTCATCTTTGCACTAGCCCACCTTTCTGCCATAGTCGCTTATATCTCGCCCGAACTTCCTCCTCCCTTATTTTTATACACTTTCACCTCCCTCTTACTTGTTGTTGCCACCTTTCCTCTTTTCCCATCTACCTCTTACTCTAACTGTAGCTACAACTAAATAATGATCCGATATATCAGTTGCCCCTCTATAAACATGTACATCCTGGAGCCTACCCATCAACCTTTTATCCACCAATACATAATCTAACAAACTACTTTCATTACGTGCTACATCATACCTTGTATATTTATTTATCCTCTTTTTCATAAAATATGTATTACTTATTACCAAATTTCTTTCTACACATAGGTCAATTAAAGGCTCCCCATTTACATTTAAACCCCCGCATCCCAAATTTACCTACTACTCCCTCTATAACATTTTTACCCACTTTAGCATTGAAATCCCCAACCACCATTACTCTCACACTTGATTCAAAACTCCCACGCATTCACTCAACATTTCCCAGAATCTCTCTCTCTCCTCTACACTTCTCTCTTCTCCAGGTGCATACACGCTTACTATAACCCACTTTTCACATCCAATCTTTATTTTACTCCACATAATCCTTGAATTTATACATTTGTAGTCCCTCTTTTCCTGCCATAGCTTATCCTTCAACATTATTGCTACTCCTTCTTTAGCTCTAACTATATATATATATAAATGTTAAAACAGTGTTACTATCAAAACTATGCTATGCCCTTGTACAAATTGTGATAACGTTGCATCTTATGTGTGACCAGCGCTGATTCCTTTCCTCATCCTACCAAAAAGACGTAAAGTACATCAGTGATGATGATGATGATGGATGATGATGATGATGATAATAATAATAATAATAATAATAATAATAATAATAATAATAATAATAATAATAATAATAATGATGATAAAGGATAAATATAAAAGTTAGTATATTGGATAAGGAGTTGAAAGATAGACTTCTTGAATGTATTTTAAGACCCGGTTGATATGTCTATATTAATAGGTAGAGAAGGTGAAGGTGGAGAACAAGGAGAGTGTTGTCACTGGGAAGATGATGACTCAAAGTTAATAATCTAAAAATAGTAGATAGTGAGAGACATGAACAAGAGCTAGAAGATAGACTGGCCAGAGTGAAATGTTCAGGAGGAGGATGTAGCCTTAATGGCCCCTAGTGAGTGTGTGTACTCGCCTCTCCTATTTGTACTTGCAGGGGTCGATTCACAGCTCCTGGTCCCGCCAGGAACTGTGTGTGTGTACTCACCTAATTGTGGTTGCAGGGGTCGAGACTCTGCTCCTGGCCCCGCCTCTTCACTGATCGCTACTAGGTCCTCTCTCTCTCTGCTTCCTGAGCTTTGTCATACCTCGTCTTAAAGCTATGTATGGTTCCTGCCTCCACTACATCACTTGCTAGGCTATTCCACTTCCTGACGACTCTGTGACTGAAGAAATACTTCCTAACATCCCTGTGACTCATCTGAGTCTTCAACTTCCGATTGTCACCCCTTGTTTCTGTGTCCCATCTCTGGAACATCCTGTCTCTGTCCACCTTGTCTATTCCACGCATTATTTTGTATGTTGTTATCATGTCTCCCCTGACCCTTCTGTCCTCCAGTGTCGTCAGTCCGATTTCCCACAACCTTTCTTTGTAGGACATTCCCCTGAGCTCCGGAACTAACCTTGTTGCAAACCTTAGTACTTTCTCTAATTTCTTGACGTGCTTGACCAGGTGTGGGTTCCAGACTTGTACTGCATACTCCATTATGGGCCTGACGTACACAGTGTACAGTGTCTTGAACGATTCCTTACTAAGGTATGGGAACGCTATTTTCAGGTTTGCCAGGCGCCCATATGCTGCAGCAGTTATCTGGTTGATGTGTGCCTCCGGAGACGTGCTCGGTGTTATACTCACCCCAAGATCTTTCTCCTTGAGTGAAGTTTGCAGCCTTTGTCCACATAGCCTATACTCTGTCTGCGGTCTTCTTTGCCCTTCCCCAGTCTTCATGACTTTGCATTTGGCAGAGTTAAAATCGAGAAGCCAGTTGCTGGACCACGTGTCCAGCCTATCCAGGTGTCTTTGTAGTCCTGTCTGATCCTCAACCGATTTAATCCTTCTCATTAGCTTCACATCATCTGCGAACAGGAACACTTCAGAGTCTATCCCTTCCACCATGTCATTCACATATATCAAAAATAGCACTGGTCCTAGGACTGACCCCTGTGGAACCCCGCTCATCACAGGAGCCCACTGTGATACCTCATCACGTACCATGACCCGTTGTTGCCTCCCTGTCAGGTATACTCTGATCAAATGCAGAGCCCTTCCTGTTATATGTGCCTGATCCTCCAGCTTCTGCTCTAATCTCCTGTGAGGAACTATGTCGAAGACCTTCTTGCAGTCCAGGAAAATGCAATCAACCCACCCCTCTCTCTCGTTTCTTACTTCTGTTACCTTGTCATGAAACTCCAGAAGGTTTGTGACACAGGATTTTCTTCCCATGAATCCGTGCTAGTTGTTGTTTATAATCATGTTTCGTTCCAGGTGCTCCACCACTCTCCTCCTGATAATCTTCTCCGTGACTTTGCATACTATACACGTCAGAGACACTGGTCTGTAGTTTAGTGCCTCGTTTCTGTCTCCTTTCTTAAAAATGGGGACTACATTTGCCGTCTTCCATACCTCAGGTAGTTGCCCAGATTCAAGGGATGTATTGAAGATTGTGGTTAGTGGCACACACAGCATCTCTGCTCCTTCTCTAAGGACCCATTGGGAGATGTCCGGACCCCTCGCCTTTGAGGTATCGAGATCACTTAGCAGCTTCTGCACCTCCTCCTCCGTTGTGTGTGTGTGTGTGTAGGAGAGATTTTAAGGTACAGGAACTTGGGTAAATAAAGGAATAATGGATCATTGTTGGAATGATGTGGGTGTGAGACCTGACACAATAATACAGCCTCAGTCTTTATTAACACTGTCTCTGCACTCGTATACATACATACGTACATACACATACATACATACATACGTACATAGTAACACATACATAGAGGCACATTATCACACTAAACAGTTCATTCATATTACTCATCTTTCCATTTTTTTTTTGCATTTCTTACCCGGCGTTTTAGTGTTAGTATTTTCTAAAAAAAATGTCTTAATTATTAATATTACATTTAAATTCTGCTCAATATGTTGTGTAAACGCGAGTGTTGTGGTATATATTAGTATATATTAGTAGAAAGACTTAGTTTGTCCGTGATGGTGATAACTTGAAGAACATAGGGGAACAGAACATTACCATCATGGCTGGCAGAACTTACTACCTCCTGTATGAGAATCATCCTGCGTGATGCATATACTAGTCGAACACCTATTTTTGTTTTCACCTTTGTAACTGCAGCGTAAACCACGGAAAACGTACATTGAGGACATAACTTAAGACTCTCAAGAAAACCATTGGAAGCCTTTTAGTGGTAGATGGGATGGTAGCAGGGACTGGAAGAACACAGGAAAGTGTGATAGATCGTACTAGCTTAATGGTACTTGACATATTGGTTAAAAATATATTTACACGTGTTGATGTAGCTTTTTTAATATAGATATAAACGTATCGTTAAATATAGAACAAAGGTTTGCAATGGGTACAGGAATCAAGAAAGCACAGTACAAAGCAGTTTCACCTTCAGATCAACAGTTACGGCAGAGTACATGTGAGAGTACTAGACAAAAACAAACGCGACCTCAAGAAAACAGTGTCTTGGCCAACACATACAACCGTTTCTTCAATACCTTGACTGTGTAGCCAGGCAGTGGCTGAGTGTCTCACTACATCAAGTGCATCAACAAGGCAGTTGTGTTGCTTTCATGCACAGGCGCACAACGCACAACAGCGTATGCAAGCCATGTTGACTATGAATATAATAAATTCACGGACAAGCTCGGGACATTAATTCGCTTCTAACTAAACTTAACCTTTTTCTCTACAGGTCGGAACAACTACCTGTACAATGTTGTCACAGTACAGAGCGCGACCTGGACAGGTTAAACAGAGATTTGTCAACGCTGCGCGAGCACAAGAAGCGTCTGGAGGAAGCCGTACTGGTAAGCAGAGTCGTCACCCTTCTTATTAAAGTTGTAACAGTAAGACTTGCCTCATTTTTTGTGTTTTAAACTGTGGATTCTTGGGGTATAACCCAGGATTGTTCAACTCAAAATTCTGATGTATTTTCATTAGGAATCCAGGGTGCCAGGATAGATTAGGCTAGGTTAGGTTACTGTTGACTTCGTAGGTGAGAAGGGGCAGTAGGTATAAGGAGATGTGCCCTTACATCTCGTCCCGGTGAGGAATCGAACCCGGGTCCTCTCGGGTGTGAGCTAAACGCTCTGAAACTCAGGCTATATTATCACGTTAGTCTCATAGAAGGTTCAAAATAAATAGGACAAAACTATATCATGGCAGTCGGTGGAAAGCTGAGAGGAGGAACCTGGAGAGGGATCTCGTAGACACTAACTCTCATGGGGAATTACCTAAGAGAATTTGTAACTATGCATTGTTTGTGACCTCTTCATTACTACCCTCGTCCACTTTGTGACCTCTTCAGTACTACCTTCGTCCACTTTGTGACCTCTTCAGTACTACCTTCGTCCACTGTGTGACCTCTTTAGTACTACCCTCGTCCACTTTGTGACCTCATCAGTACTACCTTCGTCCACTTTGTGACCTCTTCAATACTACACTCGTCCACTTTGCGATCTCTTCAGTACTATCCTCATCCACTTTGTGACCTCTTCAGTATTACCAGCGGTGGACGTGGGCTGTGACTTCCACCCTACAGAAGACTAGCTATTTATAATGTCAGGGGCGGCGTTACCTCTTACTCATAATGGTCTGATAGGAGGGAGTGGCTAGTGGCTAGGCACTCAGGGAAGTGAGGCATTGGGAAGGAAAGATAGAATGAAGGAGGGGAAGGTGGGAGGGAGCATTACAGCAGGGGAGATTTACCTAACATACCCCTGTTGACTCTGCCAGCAGTGAAGTGAGCTGGGAACTAGATGGGGGAAGTGTTGTGGAGGACCAGACGGAAGGGGATAGTTGTGTAGAGGGGAAACGGGTGGTGGATGAGTGGAAGGGGGTGCGAGGTAGAGATGGTAAGGGAAACCAGGGAGGTAAGAGGGTGCGTGGCGTGAAGTTAAGGTAAAAAGTATATTAAATATGCGTGGTGGCAGAGAGCCAGCGAGCCACCCCAGCCATAACTATGGCTGAGGGTGAAAGAGAGAGAGAGAGAGAGAGAGAGAGAGAGAGAGAGAGAGAGAGGGGGGGGTAAAGTTTTACCCCAAGGGTCGAATCTGTTGGTCACTGTCACATATCGTGTGAGCGAGCACACCACCATAATGATTCTAGAGTTTATTCTTCAGCGTCACTCGTCATGGGTGAACCCGCTGATGTAATGGATGAAAGTAGGCCGAGTGAGCAGACGAGTTGACACAACACCTGTAGGACAAACTTACTCAGGTAAGATGTTCAAGGTGGCTCAGGGGATCACAACTTTCCCGTGAGCAACCTGGACTTTAAATAGGACGGGAGTTTTCGCCAGCGTTATAGTTCGCAGATTTCTGCCTGATCTAAACGTCTAAAAAAAAAATACATATTTATCATTCAAATGAAAGAAAAGTATACGAAAAATATATTTTGCTTCCGTAACTCCCGCACTGCTCCCTACGTGAAGCCCTGAGCTTCCTAAAGATACTCGGGAGGGTTACACAAGGCCTCGTCGCCTGGCTGGCAAAGCTCTCGCTTCACACGCTGAGGGTCCGGGTTCGATTCCCGGCAAGGGTGAAAACATTTCAACGCGTTCCCTTACACCGGTTATCCTGTTCACCTAGCAAGTAGGTACCTGGGTGTTAGTCGACTGGTATGGGTCGCATCCTGGGGGACAAGACTGTGGACCCCAATGGAAATAAGACAGACAATCCTTCGATCATTCACTGCCTTTCTTGGGTTATACTAGGTGGTTAAAAATCCGAACAAAATCTTATGTTACAACTCGACCTGGGAAGGTGGCCACCGAATTATGAGATTAGGAACTCGGCGTTGTGAAGAGAATGGAGGTCAGGAGGATGAAAACAAATGTGAAGATCTAATGAACTAAAAACCTAAATGAAAACGGAATATATCATATCTATAGATAAACACGAGGAAAAGTGAGGGGAAGGGGAATGTATGTTTAGGTATCTAAGTACAGTAGGGAAAGTTCAGACTGCGACTGGCAACTGGAGTCAATTAATGTCAAGTGCGTCTCGCCAGCCATGATGGTCTCACACCCTGGCAAGCAGCAGCTGCCTGCAGGACACACTCTTTCCTGTCTGTTTACATGCTGGGGACGAATGGCGTCATATAATGGGTATCAAGTTTTTGGTCATTTATATTTGTAAAGAAAAAATGACGTAAATGTATATACACAAGAGGTTATGTTAGGTGAGTCTTCAAGACAGAGGACAAATGCTTCCTGGCTGTTAGGTGAACACAGCAGGTGCTCGGAGACTCCCAGACCGGGAGTAAACAGATGTGCATTTGGTTTCGAGTTGAACGAGCTACGAAGTTTGCTGAAAACGGGAAGTGGGTGTTGGTGTTATTACAGTATGGTTGTAGGGTCGAGATAGCAGGTGTTTGGCTTGGTGCAAGTGAGAGTAGACAAGTAGCAGGGTGAGGGGAAAGGGTGGAAGGATGTTATATATAGAGCTGGTGCACCTCTCTGACCAGCAGCCACCTCTCCTCTCTCTCCTAATCGTGGCACAAACACCTTCCCCTCACTCCTCATGGTCACGACATCACACCACCTGGTCTCCACTCCCTCTGCCTCCTCAAGACAGCATCACACCACCTGGTCTCCACTCCCTCTGCCTCCTCATGACAGCATCACACCACCTGGTCTCCACTCCCTCTGCCTCCTTATGACAGCATCACACCACCTCGTCTTTTTCTTTATTATTGCATTACACTGAATAAAGATACCCAACTGTTGCAAATGTTTCGTACTTACTCCACTTGTGTTCCTCTTGTGTGTGTGTGTGTGCTCAATTGTGGTTGCGAGGGTCAATTCACAGCTCCTGGCCCCTAATCTTCACTGGTCGTTACTAGGTCCACACTCTCCGTGCTCCATGAGTCTTATGATACCTCTTCTTAAAGCTATGTATGGTTCCTGCCTCCACTTCGTCTTTCCAGACTATTCCACTTCCTGACAACTCTGTGACTGAAGAAATACTTGTGTGTGTACTCACCTAATTGTGGTTGCAGGGGTCGAGACTCAGCTCCTGGCTCCGCCTCTTCATTGATCGCTACTAGTTCCACAATCTGTCTGTTCCGTGAGCTTTATCATACCTCGTCTTAAAGCTATGTATGGTTCCTGCCTCCACTACATCACTTGCTAGACTATTCCACTTCTTGACAACTCTATAAGTGAAGAAATACTTCCTAACATCCCTTTGACTCGTCTGTGTCTTCAGCTTCTAATTGTGATCCCTTGTTTCTGTGTCCCCTCTCTGGAACATCCTGTCTCTGTCCACCTTATCTATTCCACGCAGTATTTTGCATGTCGTTATCATGTCTCCCCTAACCCTCCTGTTCTCTAGGGTCGTCAGGCCGATTTCCCTCAACTTTTCTTCGTAGGACATTCCTCTGAGCTCTGGAACTAACCTTGTTGCAAACCTTTGCACTTTCTCTAATTTTTTGACGTGCTTGACCAGGTGTGACTTCCAAACTGGTGCTGCATACTGTGTACTCACCTATTTGTACTCACCTATTTGTGGTTGCAGGGGTCGAGTCTTAGCTCCTGGCCCCGCCTCTTCACCGGTTGTGTGTGTGTGTGTGTGTGTGTGTGTGTGTGTGTGTGTGTGTGTGTTCCACCATCTCGTCTAGCGATGTAGGTAAACTTCGTCCATTCTCAACTAGAACTCTTGAGTTAATGTTCGTAATTTGCCGTAGATACTGGAGGATACATGTGGAAAATTAATAAATATTGAGTTAGGTAACGAGGCACCACCTCAGCCCCTTGTGATAGTGTTTATTATTGTGGTGCGTTGCTTGCTAGTGCTTGAATTTTTTTAAGCTAGCATTACCGTTGGTGCTTTTGTTTATATCATATTTATACGGCCAAGTGTTGTGTTTTCACATGGATCAAATGATTATGCAAATATAGCAGATTCCTCTCTTCCTTCCAGCTCAACCTTCAACTTAATCTATCACTGCTGTGTCTCTCTCACAACTTGAGGCTGCACCTCACTGTCACTGCTGTGTCTCTCTCACCACCTGAGACTGCACCTCACTGTCACTGCTGTGTCTCTCTCACAACTTGAGGCTGCACCTCACTGTCACTGCTGTGTCTCTCTCACAACTTGAGGCTGCACCTCACTGTCACTGCTGTGTCTCTCTCACCACCTGAGACTGCACCTCACTGTCACTGCTGTGTCTCTCTCACCACCTGAGACTGCACCTCACTGTCACTGCTGTGTCTCTCTCACCACCTGAGACTGCACCTCACTGTCACTGCTGTGTCTCTCTCACCACCTGAGACTGCACCTCACTGTCACTGCTGTGTCTCTCTCACCACCTGAGACTGCACCTCACTGTCACTGCTGTGTCTCTCTCACCACCTGAGACTGCACCTCACTGTCACTGCTGTGTCTCTCTCCACCACCTGAGACTGCACCTCACTATCACTGCTGTGTCTCTCTCACCACCTGAGACTGCACTCACTGTCACTGCTGTGTCTCTCTCACCACCTGAGACTGCACCTCACTGTCACTGCTGTGTCTCTCTCACCACCTGAGACTGCACCTCACTGTCACTGCTGTGTCTCTCTCACCACCTGAGACTGCACCTCACTGTCACTGCTGTGTCTCTCTCACCACCAGAGACTGCACCTCACTGTCACTGCTGTGTCTCTCTCACCACCTGAGACTGTACCTCACTGTCACTGCTGTGTCTCTCTCACCACCTGAGACTGCACCTCACTGTCACTGCTGTGTCTCTCTCACCACCTGAGACTGCACCTCACTGTCACTGCTGTGTCTCTCTCACCACCTGAGACTGCACCTCACTGTCA